CTATAAATTCATGTAGGATCTAAGTGAAATTATCTTACATGAAATTCATTTGAAACTTAAATATATTCATCTAAGTTTCAAAGCGAATTACATTGCTTTTAATACGATTTGTAATAACTTTTATTAACGTCATGTCCTTTACAGAAAATTTTTAATATCTGAAAGTTACGTGTTTTTTCCAGTGAAATTTATGTGACCAATTTTTTGAGTGCAATATAACAATTCATAACGGGGGTGGTCACAACCCGAGTCTTGTCACTACTAACAAGGCATAAAAAGTAACAAGTACTAAAATGTGCTCCCTTCATTAGTAAAAAACCCTGTTCCCCTAGTTTGAAGTTGTCAGAACTAGGGCACCAAGGTTACCAGCGTTACTGGTTTTAAAAGATAAAAATTGACATGATGGGACGAATGATGGGACGAATGATGGGACGAATGATGGGACGAATGATGGGACGAATGATGGGACGAATGATGGGACGAATGATGGGACGAATGATGGGACGAATGATGGGACGAATGAGGAGTACAAAAGCATTACTTTCGGTGGAAAATGAATTTTGATCGGCCCAGGTTCAAAAACATGTTTGAGCCTGGCTGGGAAAAGATATTAAGCCATTATTGTAGAAAATCGTATCAGCTAGAACTCAGGTGTAACGGCACGGAAAAAGTAATAAGTAAATTAAAATTTGACGTATGGTTGATCCGGTTTGAAAAACATTGTTAACTGCTTTCGGGGGTGTCGTTTCATTTGAATAGCTTTTTACCCGGGCTTGATATATTATTTAGAGCAACCCTTTTGCTTACTGAGCACCCATGCCCCTTTACATTACTTATGTGATAGGGTCGTTTGCTTAAACCATGTTTTAAAAGATCGCATAACTTTCCCTGAACAATGCTTAAAAAGCAAATCGAAACATTGAACGTCACGTGAAAGTGGACTTTAATCAAGGCCTAAATACTTCTTCGTAGCTTACTTACTGAGCAAAAAACGCGTTCCCAGGCCCTTTTATATTAAAGAGATTTATAGTAAAATCGCTTTTGTATCGTGTATTTTGCAAAACTTTTCATTGTCGTCGGTGCCGGGTTTGAATGGTTACAACAACTTGAGTATCGGTATGACGTGATATGAGGGGATCGGTGACCGTTTTTGCTTACTAAGAAGAACATCATGAGTCTAATCTCAGGCCCATCCACATGCAAGATTCGCGATGTAACTACATGGTAATAACAGCAACTCGATGATTAAAAAGGAGCTTGCCTGCCTAGTGGCAAACGTTTTTGCTTACTGAGCAGAAGACAGTGGTTTCAATCCCAAGTTCTTTCGCGTTATATGAACGTTTGGAAATCAATTCAGCTTATCGTTTACCAAAACAAACCCTGCTGCAAACCGAAACCCTCTTACCCAACATCCCAGTGATTCCTCGTGGAAGTGCAGAGGATTTCTCGGCTTCCATCAAAGCGAGTGTCACGTCAACACATTCCTACCCATTCCTTTCTTGACCTGTGTTCAGGCGCGGCCGGCGCTGGTATTGCCTAGTTTGAGATCACCAGTTTTTACACATTTGAGGATGATTGCTAGTCCCAAGCATCGTCTATTGGTGCTCTGTGTAATTACAGCTGGTCTAGCAATAACAGAGTAGCAACCGTGCGCGGTCAATCATGCTCATGCTTATGCTCAACATTAAACATTTCAAACGCTCATTTTTCTTTATAACAATCCAACACATGTCAAACCGCACGCACACCCAAGTCACGTTTATCCTCCTTGAAATCAATCGACGTTGAAACTTGTTTTAATTGAAAAAACAAAATAGAATCATTCAGCAAGCTTGAATACTGCAGTTATTGTTTGATTAGTAGCTTCGAAAACCTCCTTTCACCTCATTTCACCTATCCGACAGTTTGCTCGCTCATTCAAAATCGATATCGTACATCATAAAATACAATAAAACATTGTTAATGAAACTTAATAAATAAACCAAAGTGTAGCACATGGATGATACGCGACTGAAAAATTTACCCAAAAAATAAAACTAGCACACACCTACTACGCATCAAATCTTATCAACCGAGAGGCAAACCTGCTTGTTCGAGACGATCACGACATCACACATATCCGTTTGAAATGTTTAATGTTGATGATAAAAATCCCGAAGGATTGAAGAAGAATTATAAAAATCCAAAATATCCACATAATGTGTAATTGTCACCCTTGACGGCACTGAATATTTCTAAACAGAATTTCAAAAAATTTTAGAAATAATCCAAGGTAATTTTAACGTATTTTCCATGAAAATCTTACAAATATTTCTATATACTTAAAAATAAAACAACTATCTGAATATGAGTGCAATTTCTTAGGACTCTGGCATTCTAAGTAACAGGGAAACGGTTTCGCTTCTACATCCGATAGTTTCGGTTATATATTTAACCTTTCTCAAGGATTAGTGGCACGGTATTGACTTCTGTATTTTTGATTCCAGGCTTTTACATACTATCTGCTATGGCAATAATGGTGCTACAAGACTCATAAACGCCAAGAGTGCGGGACAACTTGCCTGATTATGTCAAAATATCTGATTGATTTTATCATTTTCTTGACTTAGACTTCAAATCAAAAGTACCTATATGTAGAACAAACATTTGATGATATTTTCAAATGTATCCAATTTGTCCTAGGCTCTCATCTGGGACCTCTTCTTTTTATTCTGTACGTAAACGACATTTCCTTCATTCTCAAAAAAATAAAATTGCTAATCTATGCCGACGACATGAAGCTCTTTTTGGAAATAAAAAATGATGAAGACATCAATATATTCCAGAGTGAAATACACATATTCTACACATGGTGTAAAAAAAGCCTATTAGAACTGAATGTAAAAAAATGCAACTTAATATCATTTAGCAGAAAAAGAACACCATCAAACATTTCAATTGCATTAGGAAATCAGAATGTAGAAAAATGTGAAAGAGTCAGGGATTTAGGGATTATCTTAGACTCCAAACTAACTTTCATAGACCATTACAATACAATTATTCACAGGGCAAATAACATGCTAGGCTTTATCAAGCGCTTTTGCTATAACTTTCAGGACCCATACACAATTAAAACACTATATATTGCCTATGTGAGGTCAATACTGGAATATTGCAGCATTGTATGGTCTCCATTTTCAATCACGCACGAAGAAAGATTAGAATCAGTACAAAAGCAATTTCTATTATATGCCCTTCGTAAATTAGGTTGGACATCATTTCCTCTTCCATCATATGAAGCACGCTGCATGCTTATAAACATACAAACATTAAAAGAGCGTCGTGAATATGCAATGGTTTCGTTTGTAAACGATATCGTTTCGCAGCGCATTAACTCAGCAGAACTTTTATCAAAATTAAATTTTTATGTACCTACTCGACAACTCAGAAATCGAAATTTATTTGCCGTAACCCATCATCGCACAAATTATGCAAAATTTGGGCCATTAAATCGCATGATGGCGTCTTACAATCAATACTGCGAAACCATTGACTTTTCAATGTCTCGGCATAAACTAAAACAATATTTTAACTCCATACGGAATCATAACTCGTAGGAAGTAAAAATATAATAGCTGACAATATATTTTTTAATATTCTTAAGAAAAACAAATTTGTATATGTATTTGTACTAGTCTACATCGGTTGATGAAATAAATAAATAAATTTTTTTTGCTTGCAAACTATATATATATTTATCTGTGAAAGATTCATGTTTTCATCTATCGAAAACATAAACAACATATATTAAGTCATTTTACCGAAGGAATTTTTCCCAAGGACGTTTCGCCGAAGGACATTTCACCGAATGGTTCATTCCGCGGAATGGTTCATTCCGCCGAATGGATAATTTCGCCGAATGTACCATTTCGCGAATTGAGTCTTTTTGCCGAATGAGTCTTTTTGCCGATTGGGTCATTTAGCCATATATTAATCACGAATCAATATACAATTAATATTAATTTGGAAAACATTTAAATAATATACATTCCCATAGTAAGCAACTCGAATAAACAGCTCATGTTTAAAAGAAGAAAGATAATATAATATAAATCAAAAATATTGATTATTGAAAAATTTCTGACATCAGTACAACTTGAAAGAACTGCTCATGTTCAAAAGAAGGAATCGATCCTTCTTAATCTTTTTTCAAGACTGATTTCAAAATTTAATGAGCTTTGAGAAAAGTTCTAAACCGTATAAAATGGCTTGCTCTTCGGCGAAATGACCCATTTGGCGAAATGAGCTACGGTGAAGCGTCTTTTGGCGAAACGTCCTTCAGCGAAATGTCCCGCTTCCAATAAGAATGACTCACAACTGTTCATATACCTATTCCACGCTGAACTGCTCTATTGTGGCCGTCAGAAAACTTTCCATTAAATTTTACAAAATAAATGCAAGCTAATTATGTGAATGAAATCGATTTCCACCAATATATGAAACCCAAAACATTGGTGTTCGGTAACATTTTTTTCGTGCGAAATATATTCAGGGGACCTGTATATACTTATATGATTAAATCACAAATAACAACGGGTAATTCGATATAAAGCAAACAAGCACCATGCTCCACTAAAATAATATTAAAAGTTTTCCATTAAAATCCACCAAAATGCGGCGCAAACAACCGATTACAGTGAAAGCTAACCCTGTCAAAATCGATAATAAAAATTCTCTTCACTTCATTCCAGGTTCTGCAACGTAACCTATCATCGAACAACGCGCAGAGGCATTCGACCGCGAACGGCAACATGAACTTGAACTTCGCACCACAGCAAAACTAGACACTGAAATATCACACAAGATCCAGTCTGTGGTGAGAAAATACGAAAAGCAAAAGGCGAACATTAAAAAAAAAAGTTGAAGCATGATATCCATTCTGCATCGCCGAAGAAAACTTTAATTGAAGTGATCGTCGAAACGCACTGCCAGACGAACGGACGAGGTGCGTTGCGGCGGCAAAGTGGTGGTGGTGGGAAAATATAAACATTTTTAAAGCGCTCCACGCAAATGTGAAATTTACGTCAATCGTCGGCATACAGATATTTTACCGGTGCGAAAAAAAGAGCGTCCACTGCGAATGCCAAGCCCAAACAACACTAACTGCAACCGACGACGAACGCCGAGTCTTTGGCCTCACCAAGCCAACAGCAGTACGGATAGTGGCAAAAGCTGCAGCACCAATACAAACACACAAACTTGACTTACACGCAGCCAGCAGGCGGTAATATTACAAACACAGAATGTAACAGAACCCGAGCGGGAGGCATAAAGAATAGAAAAAAGCCGAGCACGTCTTCGGCACTCGGTAAAATCCTTCGTGTGTAGCAGCAGCACGCGGAAGAACGACACGACGACGGCCGTCTATGAAAATTTGCCAACATCCAGAGGACGCAGTCAGTTAGTCGGTGGTTGGCAAGGTATCGGTGCTGATTCATTGTGTCATTCGTCAAAAGACTACCGCGCGACGAGCAAGTGTTTTCTCGAAAGCAGTGCTTAGATGAGAGAGAATCTGTGTTCCCTGTGTGAAACGATTTTTTATATGATAAATGCGGTTTAGATAGACGAAATTAGCTAAGAAGAAAAAAAATCACTCGAGAAAACAGTGCCGTGAGAAATTTGCAAAGACGCGTGCGATCAGTTTTTAGTGAAACCGAAGCAGTTGAATGTTTGTCATTGGATACAAGGCGAGCGGTGAATTCAGTGAAGAAGCACCCCGAAGAGCAGTCATATCATAAATTAGCTTGTGGATTTCAGTGTCAAACAAGAGTGCGATTGAGTGACAAACGAAGCGACAATGAAACTTCGGTGCCAATTTCAGTAGCCACACCATGACTGTCATGAGGTGTGACAGTTGAAGCGAGGAGAATAGAGTAGCGAAACTTTCAGTTCAATATAAAACTGTACACACAAAAATGACGAAACTCAACCGGCTGAACAAAAGTGAAACCAGTGTAGCACAATGTTAGCCGTAGATTGCCTGGTCGGTGGATTATTGCTTTGCTCGATCGGTGTGAATATCCTAGCGTTGGGCGCTTTCTGGGTCACCCCAAGTCTGCGAACAACAGCGAATCGGTTCGTGATTAACTTGCTGATTGTGAACTTGGTATGTTGTATAATTCTGGGCCCATCGCTGCTGTTGAATGCATTTACATCGAAATCTGCATCGACGGCATCGCCGTCAACGGTGGTGGTACTGGCCGCAAGTACCGTGTCAACCTCGACAAACGCAACGGCGGCATCGACCTCCGGAAATGCTGGACTTCCATACGCGACCATAGTGAATGCCACCGCCAGTGACGACAGTACGGCAAATAGTGTTAATAATCAAACCGATAGGATAGTTAAATGCTTGAACGCCACCGCCACCACCATCGAATGTGATACTATATTGATAAGAAGTAATGTAAATATGGAAGATGTGCTGCACGTGAAATCCACTCGTGATGATGTAATCGATATGAAGCTAACGCTCACCAAGATAAGATGCTGGGGGCTCGACTTGGCCGTGGCTCTCGGAGCTCTTTCGGTTCTGCTAGTAGTCGGTGATACATGGTGTGCCATTACCGATCCCCTGCGGTACCATTCTAGAATTTCCGAGCTCAAAGCTTGGGCATTCATTGCAACGACCTGGCTGCTGGGGATAGCCTTCGGAATTGCTTCCGGTTTTCGAGGCGATCAGAAAAACATTACACTGTTTAACAACCGGATAACAAGCGCCGAAGCAGCGGCAGCACTCGAGTCTAGTCATTTTAATAAAAACCTAACGGCCGTCCACTACGATAATGGCCTCATAAATCATCTCAACATTTCGGAGGATCTGTACAACACCATTTTCTCCTACACGTATTTTGTGATTGTGATTCTGCTGCCGTTTGCGCTCGTATGCGGCATGTATTGGCGAATATTTTCGGAGGCACGGGAGAGCGGCCAGCGGATGCGGCAAAATGGATCTTCCCCGTTGCTGCAGAGTGCACTGAATCTGGCAGCCGTGTCAGCACAGAAGCAAGCGGAAAAGCAAGCCGAACATCTGCGCCAGCACACGGACCGTGATGTCTGCGATGGGCTGACTATGAAAATCGATAAGCAGATTCACTATGAAGATGAAACCATTATTGTAAATAGTATTCAACACAGCAGTAGTATTAAAAACAAGGATGTCTGCCTGAAGCCTTTGTTGCAGCAGTCACCAACACCCACACACCAATCCAAGTACCAACCGGAAGAGAAACCGGCAATAGTACAAATTGAAAACAATACCACCGTAGAGCCACAGTCCCCACCAATCAGCAAACCGAAGCCATCGATGAAGCAAGATAAAAATCACAACATTATGTTGAGCCTCCCCACCGATGCCTCGGGAAAAATCCGCCGCAACCACAGTGCCGGGCGGTTGGTCAGTTTCAGCGAACAGGACCAAGAAATACGTCCCGGCCTACGGCAGGTTCACTCAACTCCGAATTTCCAGAAACTCGTATCGCAGGAGTTTGACCATATCGGAAACCATCATATTCTGTCCCTGCCGGCTGTACACGTGCCGCCAAAGGCACTCAGCTACATGACGTCGATCCGACATCGACTTTCGAATGCATCTTCTTTGTTCAAATATCGCGAAGAATCACGTGCAGCTCGAATCAGCATACTGGTGATAATAATGTTTCTCATATCGTACCTCCCGTACGGAATATTGGTGCTGATGCAAGGGCATGTGGATTTGGTGCTGATTTCGGACCAAGCCCTGTTGGCCATCTTCACGGTGATCATCGCCAACCTTAGCTCACCCTTCATCTTTGCCTACCGGAACAAACGGGTGCAGCGCGGTGTCAGGCGACTGCTCGGGATCGACAAGAAAACCAACGAGCGGCTGCAGAAGCTCACCAACAGCAACACCCACTTCAACAATAACAACAACTACAATGCCAACATTAGCTTTCATCAGGCTACCACCAACGGAAACGGACCGTCGGACGAAGCTGAATCGAACGGGCCCTTCGGACTGCACCACAAATCGCACAAGGTACGCATCGCCAGCCTGTCACGCAGTAATAGTTCGTGCAAATACCTTACCCCGAATCACGCGGCGGCCGTGGCCGTGGCCAACGGGTTCATTGTCGAGTTCGAGCGGTATCCGTCGGACGAACTCAACAGTCTGTGCATCCAGAAGAAATCGATACTGAAACGAGTCTGTGATAGTTCACGGAAGTGGGGATGCAACTTTGCCACCAATTCCTGCACCAGCAACGACGAGCAAACGGAAGTGTAGCTTTAAAAAGGTATTTTATTGGGCTAATGTCTCTTGTGTGGGGTTTATGAAAATCATGTCTCTTAGTTTGTCGGAGGTGGGCAGAAATTCGATTGAACTAATTAGAAGCTATTTTACCGTTGATAATTGAATCAAAAAGGTAAAGCCGTAGGCTGATTCACTTTTAACAAAGGCTGATGCTGGGATTCTTCTTCGCGATAAGTTAATTTTAAATGAACCTCAGACCCATTGGGGCGAGAAAGCAGTCACGCTTACCACTACACCACCGGTGCCGGCTCAATCCCATCTTATTTCAATGCATTCGCTGCCAAAATACCATTTTTTCCTATCATGACAGTTTAAATTACACCACATTTTTGACGTGGTTGAAGTGCAATGTGATAGTAATTTTTATTTTCTTACTGTGCGGAGCGGGGTCTTGTTTACTAAAAATTTCACAATTATTGTTCATTTCTAAGTAAACACTGTTTATGAGGGTACTGTAGACCATGATTTAGAACTGTAGAATGCTTCAAAACTTCAATAAAACTTGCAATTTATGGGATTATTTATTATTAATGAACACTCTCCTGTCAAATTTTTGTCAGACACGAAATTTTCATGTAAATATCGGTGATTAGAAACAAAAACGTCACTTATGTCATACAAGTCAGTAATTAAAGATTTGAAATATAAACCATATTTGTTAACGATTCTTTATGTACGTCAAAGTTGAATTGCATTACGTGTGAAACTAGTTTTTGCTATGTCATGATTTGCCAGCGCTATGCGTAATCTGACTATCTGACATGTTTCGTGCAATTGCGATGCCGATTGGATCATTCTACCTTTTTGTTTGTAAACAAACCAGTTTCATTTAAGTTTGGATTTCCTACACCTTGACTAAATATGACCTGAAACAATGTCTGTAATCTGAATGATCAAAGCATACCAAAATCACTCGCCCTCAACTTCACGTCGTTTGATAATCATAATCTGAAGTACCCGCAGGCATTTGCACTAATAAACAAAGGAAAATTCTAGATTTTCCTTTTGTTTATTATTATGTATCGCAAAATTCAACAGCATCGGATTATCTAATGTGCTTCCACTACAAATCGTCCAGTGAGATGTCGAATTACCCAGCTGAATTGAATTATTAGCTGAACCACACCGTCACCGAATGATGGTAACAAAGTAATTACTCACTGATCGGATTATGCCAGTGCCAAAACAACAAGCAGAATCGAGATAAATGATTCACGTCGGGTAGATGATGCTGGATTACTATCGCGTAGCTAGCAAAATAGTCAACAGGGTAGGATTAGCGATTGATTCTCCACGGATTATTGCTTTACGTTCTGCTTGAGGGCATGGTTCACGGAAGCCTTTTCCCGTAGGTATTATTGGGTTCATCATTTTGCATCAGCTCGGGCACACAATGTAGGGGGAAAATGTCAGAAGAGGCGAACTCGAACCTGGAAAATGATAGATATACCTCCATAATTTGTCTTGTCTATTAGGTACATGATTCACATTAGAAATACGCAAAATATATCAAAATGCAGCATTTAAGGGACAAGATGTTCTGAATCATCGGGCATATTTAAATAAAGGATTTAAACACTATACTTCAGAATCCATTAAATGGGTGCAACGTGGATCCATTAAATGGGTGCAACGTGGACATAGTAGCCGACGTTCGGCTGTATTTTTGTTTATAAATGAATGGTCACAATATCTAGTAATAAATGGTTAAGTGATGCTCCATTTTCCTCTAGTGGTCGGAACATGAGCACTAACTCGTGTCCTAGCTCTATATGGCTTATGGTTATAGCGCCATTCCTCGCTTTTTGAAAAGCGAAGAATGGAAGAAAAGGACGTAGGAGAAGGGAGAAAAAGCGAGTCTCTAATCAATCTACGGGAAAAGTTCGCGAAAACTCGCAATGACTGGCGAACTTTTCCTTGTGTGAGATTCATAAAGCTTCTGGAGAATGAGATGTGTTCCCCTGCAAACGTGAAGTGGTGGACCATATGAAGGTTCCTTGAACCATGTCCTTAAATCACTAACATCTTCAATCAGCTGCGTTGAATGCCGATGGAAGAGCCTTATAGATGATTACCCTTTTATCAGTTATTTTAAAGAGATTCAAGTGATCGTTCTTGCAGCTTCATTTGACAGTTTCAAAAGGTGTTGTCAACTGTGGTGATTGTTTCAGTGCGCCAAAATTGAAGAAATATTTGATTGCGGTTCTATTAGTAATGCAGACTACGAACGAGCAATCGCAATATCTCTGAAAACCCAAATTGAAATTTCGAGGTCGATAGATCATTTTTGCTTCTGTCTTACTAAATTGAAAATACATTTAGTCTAGAAATGTGAACGACTCCTCTATTCAATACGACCAGCATTTAACTCACATCATCTGTGCGAATCTTGCAACATCAGCTGTAAAACCCCAGTGGCTAAATGATGATCCATTTCCCATCAACCGAAGGAATTATTCTTCGGCAATGGATGCCTATTTTCCACACGGACGATCGGACGATGTCACCAACTGTCAATTTTCTCGATGCCTATCCTCCTACGCGCACCCATCCAAGTAGACATTACAAACGGGAGGTGTGAGCAAACTTTTTCATTATTGCTATTTTTCTCCACCAAACGGCTATCAACCGTCTTCCCCGAAGATAGAAACCAGGGCAGCAGCCGGTCAGAAACCGGCAGTAAATTGCATTACTTCCATCTCAAATCCCACCGTACCGACGGCGACCCCGTATACGGTGGATCACAGCCGATGAGATCAACTCAAAATGGAGTGGTTTTCACTCTAAATCTCATAAACGTAGGTCACTCAAACATAGACACTGAGTAAAATGTTACTCGCTTTTCCTCAAAAATCTAGACTGTGTGAAACCTTTCTCGATTCGAAAAGTTTTGGTATCCTACGTTTATGCGAATTAAAGTGAATGCAACGATGCAACTCAAAGTTGAGTTAGTTTAATCGGCCGTGTAGTGGTGACCAAATGGGGTTGGAGGAAAATTGTTCCCATTTGTATCCTCTGGTACGTTCTTGACGGTTATCTTGGGTGACAGCTTGTCCCTTGTTGATCCCTTCGAATAATCGGGGAAATGGGGCGTTTGGAACGCTGCCTAATGAGCAATGTCTCTCTATTTACATAAAATACACATTGGAATAGTGAGACTGGGGCACGCTGACTAATTTGCATCCCGGTCCCGGCACGGACTGGCCTTCACCCAGGGCAGACACGAAGGAAAGAAAGAACCAGCATTCATTAGTCAGTCTATCGGGGTTGACTTGAAGCACTACATTTGGTCGTTTAATCTCTAGTCTCGCATGGCAAATTCTAGCTGTGTCTTGTCAGCGCAACACCTGTATGTGCACGAGTGATGTAAATTTATCTACCAACGTAGGTAGGGTTTTTGATCTAATTTTTGTCCTACTAAGGACAATCCGCACTAAACGTCCCTTTTTCGTACGGATATGAACAATAAATGGAATGATTATAATGGCTTCCAAATTTATTTACCTTCACAAATTGTTGAGATACTGTTTCCAAGTTCGTCCTTCGAGTTTCAATTACATCCTAACGCATTGAAACGCCATTGGATTTCCGTCGTCTTACGGTTGAAGGCAGAAAAAAAAATTGATTTTGAAGGAGCGCTTCTTTTGTTTTAACAACAATGAGGCTTTGTGTTGTAGCTTATGAACTAACGCATCGGAGCAAATGTATTATTGGTATGTGCACGGCGAAATCATTGATAGTATTGATATTTTCTGCTCGATAAAATGGAAATGAGCGCTTATGATGAAGTAGCGCTCTACCCTATTTCATTGCTATTCCATTGGAGGCGAACGGAAAAAAAAGCACGATAAAATCGAATAAAATCGTTCATTCCTGGACATTTATGTAACATGCCCAAAGAAGCAGAATACAAGTTTGGTGCGAATGTCACTAGTGGAAACAAGGGTTGTTTGATTTCCATGTCTCAAAGCTAGTAAGTCGAACTAATTTGTTGCCTGAAACAAAGTGACCGCTGGAAAATTGCCAAAACGTGCCAATGTGATGGAAATTTATGCACTGTCTTTCAGAACGGACCTGGGTAAGGGAACTAACAAAGATAGACTTAACCAGCTGGGTGTGACAATTCCGGAGGGATCACCCGCTGCCTTTTTCTCCGATTATTTATCTCGCTATAAAACCCTCACACGGCAATCTGGTTCCCGATAGGGCACGTGCGTATCGGGCAAATTGAGTGAGCGCAGCACTTGTCCACATCGTGTATCAATTTTTTTCTCTTTTCTGTTCTTGTGCCCATATGACGACGACCGGTTATGCTAATCGGAAAAGAAACAGTGCAGCCACGGCACTCGGTGTGTGTGTGTGTGTGTGTTTCGGTGAGCGGTGTGATCTACTGCATCAGCAGCGTCAGGTTTGCTAGAATGGCATTTTTTTTCTGTGGCCTACGAACACGATTTGGACTAAAAATAGAACCATCATCGTTTTCCCAAGGAGACACCGCCACCACCGCCTTGCAGAATTCTGGGTATTTTTGCAAGGTGTCAACGCAGTCGGCGTTGCTATAATTTTAAAATGTTGAATTTCTGGTTTTCGGAGAATGCTTCTCGGACGGTCGACGGATGAAGTTCTAGATAAGACGGTGGGATAGGACTAGGAATGCCCCTGGAGGCGTATGGTGATGTATTCGGAATATATTGGGCAATATATACATACGTTAGACTTTTGTTTTTATGAGACTGTCAAGAATTATTTTGTCAAGACAATCTTAAGACGAGTTCCCAAGAAAGCTCTAGGCCTTTGAGGCCTTGCATTTATTATGTCACGCGGAATTGAGGAAAAAATCAGTCATGTTATTACTTTTCCTAATAATATGCTTGCCACGGAATATTGAACCCCGTTAAAGCATGACATAATTTATAAATCACCCTTTTGTGTCGTTTTGAATTCAGCGCATTGAAAAAATGCTCAGATAACTTGGAAAAAATCATAAATTCGGTATAATCTCTCAGCGTGGAAATCATACTCTTTTTACGCTCGCTTTAATTTCAATCAATTACCCCTCGCTTTGACATTAGGCCACAGACAAACAGACATAACTCTCGAAAGTTGTTCATCGAACAAGCATTTAACGAACAATTTAAAAGTATCATAGTTGGTAGTACCACCACCTGTGGCGCGCATAGTCAATTCCCCTGATTAAGAAATGAAAACATTTCAACTGACAGATAGTTTAAATCGAATCGACTCTATGTAATGGAAATGTATAATCAAATTTACCTAGAATTCGACGATTTTTGAAGAGT